GAGGGCTTCTGGCTCCGGAGCTACCTCGCCTGCCGGCTTCGGTGCGTTCGCCCTGCTCGACGGCCCCGGGCTCACTCAGTTTAGGGTTTAGGGTTTAGGGTTTAGGGTTTAGGGTTTAGGGTTTAGGGTTTAGGGTTTAGGGTTTAGGGTTTAGGGTTTAGGGTTTAGGGTTTAGGGTTTAGGGTTTAGGGTTTAGGGTTTAGGGGTACTTATTAACCACTTGTCACTGTACTTAGAACCCACTTATCAGCCCCTTAAGTGCCCTAATGTGGTTAGTACAGGTTTTTTCGCTCCTGCATAGCTGGCCGAACCGCAGGCAGGGTTGATTGATGGCACGACTCCACGTTCGAAAGAAGAAAATTGGTCCGTGAGACCCTATAGTGTTATGGTAATAAGTACCCTGAACCTGCAAGCAGATTCGAGGCGGGGAGCTGTAGTGAAGGGGTCTTCAGCATTAGGGATGGGTATATAACACCCCCAAACCCTACCTCTAAACCCTGCTTCGTTGGACCCCTGGCTCCCACCCTCCGCTTCCTTCAAGCCTCGTGGCCAGTAGTTGGAATGTACGTGTGTGTGTGTGTACACTTGCGCGGAAGGCACTCCTATCAGAAGCCAACTGGGCCTCCACCAAATACACAAACACTGAGACTCATCAAGAAACGAAAAAAACTCCTGTCCTGGCTCACACCACTTGGCATGTTTAGCATATGCCCTCCCACTTCAATCAAAGTCGAGCCCCACATCGACCCCGCAAAGAGCTTCTGCTCGCAGCACCTCAACTCTGAACCCGCAAAACCCGGGACAATCATGGTCAAAAACCACTCCTCAAAAACCGCTCCTCAAAAACCACGCCGAGCCTCTGCAACTTGCTCTGGAGGCGGCCGACCGAGACGTCGACGCTGTGCCTTACCTCGAGACTTCGAGGCTCAAGGCAAACAGCACAACTCCTATGGGCGAACCGCATAGCATGTCCGCGAAGCTAGGAAAATCAAGGTGTGCCAAGCACTACTGCAGCCGCGCGTTGCAGGAAAAGCTCACGGCACGGGGGCGTTTGCCCCTCTGAAGTCGTAAGTCAGGTACAGCAAGAAGAGGCAAGTTCTGGTAAGTATGAGTATGTACCAAAGACTTGCTCAACAGCCCGACTTCTATTCCCCGGAGGTTAACCTATCAAGTTAGGAAATAATAAAAAAAACGTAGCTGTCATGGAGCGCACTTATTCATAATCTTTAGCGCCAAAGCTCCACGACTCTGTACGCATCCAACGTCGGGATCTCTGTGGTGGGCTAGGTTTGGATAGCTTAATGCTTAGGTAGGCCAGGAATCTACAAGGCAATGGACTTCAATCAAGGCAGCTAAACCCAAGAGAATATAATACAGATATCTATACATATATGCATATCTAGATTGATGCGGAGAGAAAGACATGTACAACTCGCGATGCGTGACGAAGCTTGCCAAGAAAAGCACCAAAGCACCCTGGTCACATGATACAAAGCCCTCACCCTGGCCTCTTACAGATTAGGCTTGAGCAGCGGACTGGCTGTCGGCGACAGAGCACGCATGAGGAGCCTTCACCGTGCAGCAGGGGTTTCTTGTCGCTCAGTTCACGGCTCACGGCAACTACAACCCTAAACCCTAAACCCCAAACCCCAAACCCTAAACCCTAAACCCTAGCTTAAAGAATGTTGGGGGGCTGAAGGCTTACTATCCAGCTGCCTCAAGACCTTGTTGGCCGAGATCCGCGTCTCCTGGCCAAGGAAGCAACACCCATACCACCAGACGACCACAACCCTAAACCCTCAACCTTAGACCCTAAACCCTAAACCCAAACAACCCCAAGTAAGGGGGCTCCTCTTCGCTGCGGCCCTCAGACTGCAGGAGCTTCGCAGTCAAGTCCTCTTCCAGGACACGGGAGTCGCTGCGAAAGCTGCTTTGGCAAGGTTGCTTTGGGAAACCTCCAAAGAAGCCAAGCAGAAAAATCACCTAAAACCCTAAACCCTAAACCCTAAACCCCAAACCCCAAACAAACCCAAAACCCTAAACCCTAAACCCTAAACCCTAACCCTCACAGGATGCCTGCAGAGTTTGTATTCGCCGCGCAGGCCTGGAGCCTAGGAGCTCTCAGGATCTCTCAGGAGAGTTCTGGGGGTTTCCGAAAAATAGGGGTGCACTTTTTTAGGGGGGTCCGAACAGAAGGATTAGAGCACTTGGGGATGTAACCCGGGTACCCCTAGTAGGGGAAATGCCCCGTCTTGAACCTTGAAGACCTTGAGGCCTCCTCCCCCCCCCCCCCCCCCCCCCCGCGCGCGCGGCACCTTCCCCGCCTTCCCCGCGCACTCGCAACGCGCAGCCTGCCTGGACTCCCCCGACTGGCAACCCTCCGAAGTCCCTACCTGGAGGTTCATAAGTATGGCAGTTATACGTATAACCCCCATTTAGGATCCTTCATGAACCTCCAAGTAAAACCCTTCCGTGCCCACCCTGCGCCCCGTCTGATCGCTCGGGCCGTAGCTCGAGGATGAAGAAGACCTCGGCGGGTCCTTGTGGTCCTGCAGCGGCCCTAACCCTTTTTGCGTCAGGACTTGTGCAATGGCCCTAAACCCTAAACCCTAAACCCTAAGCCCTAAGCCCTAAGCCCTAATGCCCTAAACCCTTAACCGCTGCAGCGTGCAATCCACGCCTTCCGCCTCTCCCACTCGGCCAAGCGCGCTTCAAACCTGGCGGACTAGGGTACGCCGGGGAATGAGCGGGGAACCCTTCTTGGAGGTCCCTTTAAGGGGATTCTATTCTACTTGGGGGTACAAGAAGGGTGTACCCCCTATGATGGGAAGTACCCACATCCGAAACCCTAAACCCTAAACCCTTTTGACCCCGCGAGCTCTGCCTAAACCCTAGACCCTAAACCCTAAACCCTAAACCCTAAACTCTAAACCCTAAACCCTAAACCCTCGAAGCGAGGCAGGGCCGCATCGACCGGAGCTTCGCATCGGGCACGAGGCCCAGGACGGCACCCAGCAGCCGGGCCTGAGCTTCAGCTTCAGGCTTGCGGTTTAGGGTTTAGGGTTTAGGGTTTAGGGTTTAGGGTTTAGGGTTTAGGGTTTAGGGTTTAGGGTTTAGGGTTTAGGGTTTAGGGTTTAGGGTTTCGGGATGGTTCCCCCCTTATACTAGCAGCCCTTAAGAAGGATAAGAGTACCACCTATGATAATCGCTACTAAGGACTGTTAGTATGAGGGGGAACATCCCAAGATATAGGGGTTTCTGAAATTAGGGGTACCTCATGGCTGGATGGGGGGGCCCTTAAAGGGAATCCTACGATTTGAATCCCCATATTGGCCCGCCGCTTCTTGCGGCCCTGTCTAAGCTTCAGGCCCACGGAAGTTGCAACATCGTGGTCTTTCTTGCCATGGTTCGAAGTCAGCTTCGGCAGGGTGCGACTAATGAACCTTGCCGAACCTTGCCCCGATCCCGCTCTGAACTTGCAAGCCTACTCTTTGCAAGGACACCGACCGCAGAACAAAAAACATCACCCCAACTAGTCGATGGCTCATGGTTGCATCCGGGATCTCAGGTGCCAGCGCCCCGCACTTGGGAGTTCGGATCTTCCGACGCCGTGTCTGATCCCCTGGGCGAAGCTTCACACCACCTCCATCCGCCTCCCCATACGCCCGTGCGACTGATGCCCATGCCTCTCTGTGTGTCTGCGTCTCTATGGGATGTGTAACACACACACACACAGACAGAGACAGACACAAACGCAGAGACATGTGCATGTGAAACAGCATCTGGCCGCCACAGCACTGTTTGTCTACGCGCTGCGCAACATCGGAAGACATTGACATGGTCACCTGCTTCTGCCAAGCTGAAGAGGCTCCCCTTACTCATGTTGCCCAGCAGCCTCAACCTAATTCGTGGCACAAACTCGTCAAACAAAACGAGTCCCACTCGCACAACGTGGCGAAGCTACGCCGTTTCAAAGCGAGCTTGGGCACGGAAACAGCGAGCATGTGCAGGAAAAGTGTGGCTAGAAATGGAGGCTAGCGGCTAGAATAAAGCCGCAAGCGGCTATTCAGGACAGTCGAAACCTGTCTGCGGCCACGAGAACGGGCAGACGTGCTGCCACGAAAACCCAACTTAGCAACATCCTAAACTTGGCACCATACGTTTGTGGCAGGCCAGCCACATCCTCAGCGGCAAGATTTCCATAATCGACTCTTTGGGGATGGATTCCAGGCTTCCTGGAAGCGGCTGATCAGACATCTGCCAGAGAGTCGCAGGATGCTCGCAATACGCCTGAGTTCGCTCCTTTCTGCTACTGCCAGCTGATACCGACGACTACGAAATTGCTCTAAACTCTCACCACCGCGCCCTGCACATCCTGTGCTGCCAGGTTTCATCGTGCATGGGCACGCTTTCGATCAGCGCCAGGATGAAGAGGACCAGTTCCATTGCTTCGGCTTCTCCTGATCCTCCTCTCTGAGCCACTGCTGCATCTGTTGGCGATCTTCTGGCCGGTTCTGCTGTGGCCTGCTGCATGCTGCGACTGTGAAACTTCCCGCCTAGCTTCCCCCAACTTCACCGAGCCCGCCTGGCACGGACCACAGGTGGTGGGGTCGGCGGCCGCGCTGGCTCTGTCCTGGGTGTCTCTGAGCCCCGCAATGCACACACAAACATCCGCAAAATACTGCGGAGGCCGAACTCTCACATATCATACAACAATACTTCGGCCATGCGAACTGTGGGCTGCTCATGTCTGTTCTGCATTTCTGCCGATGTTGCATGCAAGCTGGCTCAGGCACTTGCAGTTAGCACTTTTCGCGCGCTACAGGCGCGAGACCCCGTCTGATTGCACCGCTCAGCTGCAGCTGGAACCTGGTCACCCAAACATCAGCCAGGACACACCCACAAAAAGGAGGCCCCTCAGCCGGCCTCGACGCAAACTGCACCCCGAAGCCCTTCAGCCGGCCTGAATCTTGATTCAAGATCTCATCATATCTCATCCCTCAGGCCCGCTGACTTGGTAGCGGTGGGCGGCTCAGCAGCCAGGCCAGGCCACCTCGCAAGAGGACTGTTTTGGGCTTAGGCGTCAGGGATGGTTGGGAATGTGGGGTGTCAACGTGACGAACACATTGAACACGTGGCAAGGGCATGGTTGGATCCGAGCTAGTGCTCAAGGCGCATGCGTCCAAGTGGCCGAAAACCGGCAGCAGGGCTGAAAGCGCAAACTGGGCCTGCTGATGCCGGAGGCATCAAACATACAACTTCAGAGCACTGGCAAAAAATCTAACTCAATTATACTGAAAATCTATTTAAACACTATGGTTCATTTGAATTTCAACAATCCATGTCTTGCGTTGCTGGGCGGGCCTTGCTCCCTGTGCTCCATGAGTCAGGGCTGCCAAGGAAGACGCCTGCCCAAACACTGCCCAGGGCTTCTTCGGCAAGCCAAGGACGCACGCAGCTGTACAAAAAAAGCCCTCTTCAAGATGCAGAAAGGCACGAGGATGGCTGCTTGGCAATTGGGGGCTCGTGCGGGGTCCCTTCTAGAGTCTAGAGGTCCCTGTGCCAGGGATCCCCTTTGAACCCGAAACATCCTAAACCCTAACCCTAAACCCTAAACCCTAAACCCTAAACCCTAAACCGCAAGGCCAGAACTGCCGCCTCGCCGGCGCCCATCTTCCAACAGCACGGGCCCGAAGAACATCCAAAGCACCTGTGGGGTATGTCTTACTTCTCCAATCACCAAGGGGAAAAAAGGGGTAAACTTCACTATTCCTACTGTCTTACTTCTCCAATCACCAAGGGGGAAAAAAGGGGTAAACTTTAAGATTCCTAGTAAATAAGGAAACCGAAAAGGTTGAAGTTCAACTAACGGCGAAGTAAGATATAGGCCCTTATTCTCTTTTTTAGAGGCTACTCCCACTTGGAGGTTCATGGGTAGGTATAAGTAGGGCTATCAGGATGGTAGCTTTGCTTGTAACCACACTTAGGACACTTCTAACCCTACTTAGAACTACCCATGAACCTCCAAGCAGGGGGCACAGGGAAAAAACGAAAATTTTGGGTTTAAAGTTCAGGGCACGGCCACATGGGACGACTGACATGTGTCCGAGAGTCCAATATTTGTATATTTTGAAGTTTTGTGTTTTTTGGGAGCGGATGGCTCTTCGCTTTTGAGGTATTTGGTCATCTTGCCTCTCGCAAATCCGGCGTGGAATCCTAGCTAGGGTGGTTGGTTTGCTGGGGGATCTCGGGGTTCTTGGCACCGCCTGGTGCCCGACCGCCTTCTTTTCACAGCAAGTCCGAAGCCTCCAGAAAGTTACGGCCATGCTGCCCTAAACCCTAAACCCTAAACCCTAAACCCTAAACCCTAAACCCTAAACTCAGGGCCATGCCATGAAGTCCAGGCTGGACACGTGGGCAGTCAGACTACCTCACAGTTGTTCCTACTTGGAGGTTCATCGTACTTCTTAACCAATTATAAGGGTTTAGGGTTGAGGGTTTGGGGGTTAGGGCTTAGGGTTTAGGGTTTAACTGTACCTATAACCCACCTATACGCCCCTTAGGCTAATATGGTTGTAATTGGGGCATATATGATTCGGGTGCGGGCTGCCCCCCCCCGCCCTGTGGTGTGGTTGTGGGTTGATTTTACGGTTTAGGGTTTTAGGGTTTAAGGGTAAAGGGTTTAGGGTTTAGGGTTCCACCCCCCCCCCCCCCTGTGGTGTGGTTGTAGGTTGGTTTTAGGGTTTAGGGTTTTAGGGTTTTAGGGTTTAGGGTTTAAGGGTTTAAGGGTTTAAGGGTTTAAGGGTTTAAGGGTTTAAGGGTTTAAGGGTTTAAGGGTTTAAGGGTTTAAGGGGGGTTTAAGGGTTTAAGGGGGTTTAAGGGTTTAAGGGTTTAAGGGTTTAAGGGTTTAAGGGTTTAAGGGTTTAAGGGTTTAAGGGTTTAAGGGTTTAAGGGTTTAAGGGTTTAAGGGTTTAAGGGTTTAAGGGTTTAAGGGTTTAAGGGTTTAAGGGTTTAGGGGTTTAGGGTTTAGGGTTTAGGGGTTTAGGGTTTAAGGGTTTTTTAGGGTTTAGGGTTTAGGGTTTAAGGGTTTAAGGGTTTAAGGGTTTAAGGGTTTTAGGGTTTTAGGGTTTTAGGGTTTTTAGGGTTTTAGGGTTTAGGGTTTTAGGGTTTTAGGGTTTTAGGGTTTTAGGGTTTAGGGTTTAGGGTGTAGGGGCGGGGCGGGGGGGGGACCATACGAGTACCATGGGGGGGGGGGGAGGGGGGGGCGAACCGAGAACCGGGATCATATTCGCACTTCGTACTGGGTGAACAAGTACCCGACGAGGATTCAGCAGCTTCGCAGATGCCACGGGCTAACCCCCAAAAAGTAAAAACATATGATTCTTCCTTACTAAGGGTAATATAGGAATTTTTGTTGTTTACTCTTTTGGGTTCTTAAGCACTTAGTAGTAACCAGTTGCTTCAAAGGGGCTGCCGAAAACCGGGGCGAAGCCAGCCAATGCTTCCGTAGGTGAGAAGCCACCGATGACTCCATTTCCTCGGCTCTGGCAAGAAGCAAATCTGAACGAGTAAGGTCAGAATGCGCATCCGCAAGCAGCATCGCAAAATCCGGGGTTAGGGCTTAGGGTTTAGGGTTTCGGGTTTCTGATTTAGGCTGTTTTTGCCACCCGCACTGCCCTCGCTCTCGCGCAGAATTTAGGCTTTGGGGTTTAGGGTTTAGGGTTTAGGGTTTAGGGTTTAGGGTTTAGGGTTTAGGGTGCGAGCAAGCCACCCACCGCAAAAAGTGCCAAATAGGTGGCAAACGCAAGGAGGACCACGGCCGTTAGCCGATTCTCCAGGATATTCGCCGTGACCCAATCGAGTTCTCCCGATGCACCTCCACATTTCGCAGGTGAAGTGAGCTGCATTGTGCTATGCCATAAAGCAGAACAATGACGTAATGACAGGAGCCACGAACCCGAAATTCATGTGGAGCCCTGATGTTCAGTTGAAGTGTCGCCGTTCAGGAACTTTGAGACACGGAGACAAGACCAGGAACCAAACAAAGACGACAGCTACGACGATCGCGACTTCGACGCTCCCGATCCCTGCGACTCGCAGCACTTTTGACACGCGAAGACCACGTTCAGGAACCGAAACGATAATACAGCGGGTACGAGGTTTACGAACCCGGCACGCCCGATCCCCCCAACATCCTGCAGCCATCAGGACTGGCAGCGCAGAAGTCTTCTGCGAAGACAAGTTGAGGACGATAGTTGTGACTGCTGCCAAATTTCCTGGCACTCTTGCGGGTACCTGCAGATGCTGAAACTCAAACAACAAGTTCAACACAACAAACCCCAGACCCCGCAAAACGAGAACTTTTGAACAAGGGCTATCACCCGCGCTTGGCCAGCATGCTACAGCTGATCGCACAGTCTTTGCAAAGCCTCTCCTGCGACAGCCCTGTGCTCGCGCAGCGCCAAGTAAGGGCTGAGTGCAAAGGCACCCAGGAAGAAGGAACCAGCCACGAACCTAGAATTCAATCCGTTTTGCACTGGCGATCTTCACTCGACAGAGGGGCTGGAGAGCAGCCCATGGGTCTGCAAGTAACAGCAACACGCAGTATCCAAGCAGCGGGAAAGCCGGCACCGGCGACTGACGGTCGGATCCCGGTAGCAACGTGGCAGCGTAGATCACAGGCCAAATGCCTGGCGCCCATGTAGACTGTAGACAATCCAAAAAAAGGCTGCGAAGACTCGGCGAGTCGAAGGTGGCTTCCACTTATGAGATCCGCTTCTCTGCGCTTTGCTTTGCGTTGCTGGCCGGCCTAGCATGTTGAAGATGCAGCAAAAGAGTGGGTCCACCGAGCCGTCGAAGGGCGTGGAGAAAAGCTGCTGTATGAGCGCCTCGGATGCATCGTATTTTTCTTGCAGGAGGTCAATTAGTCGATTCTTTCTAGGGCTGCCTTGGCGCCTGATCGGCCACCCGTTCATCGGGACCCTTCCCGGGCGCCAGAAGTATTGAATAAGCCAGCAAGGCTAGCCAAGCACCTGCTGGAAAGCAGGTCCCCAAATTTCAGCTGCAGCACATGCTCACAGCCAAGATACCGGCAATGGCCAGGGTTCTTAGATGACCACAAATTTCAAGCTGAGTGATGGTAACCAGGATGCGAAGCATAAAAGCCATATACTCATCTCTACTCGACTCATCTCTCCTCCTGCCAAGTTGCCGACCACTCCAGCGCTTCGGGCCGAAGAAACCATCGCTGGCCGAATCGCCAGCCTGTCGGGTCTTTCTCGCCATCTGCTATTCTTTCTTGTTCCCTCTGACGTGCTCGAACTTCTGGCTCTGGACTTCTCTGAGCTGAACGGCAACGCGTCGGAACTCTCCGCAACTTGATCCCCAAATCACGGCTTTACGGCACCCTTCTGCGTTCGCCTTCGGCAGGTAACGACTCGGCTTGACGTTGCCACGTCGGCCCGCAATGAACCCTCAATTCACTCGGGCAGCACGAAGTTCGCAGCGGGCTCCATGGTGGTAGACTTTGTAAACGTCTGTCAGCCAAGGTGGGCTCCGACCTCAGCCTCTTTCTTTACTTCGTCCTTTCTTGCCTGTCTTTCTCTACGTCTTGCGTTCTTTCTCTTTCTTGCTGGCGGCCGGTCCAGGCTGTGACGTCCTCTCAAAGAACAGCACCATGACACATGGCAACCCCGTTCGCACCTGGGCCTCGGAGCCCAGCCGCTGCAGCTGTAGCCCGGAACCCAGGAGCGCACAACTGAGCTCTTCGGAGGCTCAAGGGCTTCGGTGCACTTCCCTGAACCTTATTCAGCTTTAGGACCAAGCACACTCTGCTCTCCCCCTTCTTGTTTGGGCCTCGACCTCTGGGCTGAGGATCCCTTGTGCAAGAGGCTTGGGAGGTTTAGGATCCCTGAGCCCCTGAACCCTGAACTTGAACCCTATTTCTTTGAGAGGTGAGGCGCTTTAGGGTTGATTGCGGGGAGGGGCCCCTCAGCAGCAG